AAGTTCGTAAAAGAAACTTTTTTAGAGATTTATGCCGAGAGTTCGGAAATAAATTTTATTTATGAAGGTTATTACGGATGTTTGGAAATACTATTTTACAGAAGATCGTAACAGAAAAAGTAAGATGCGTAGATTAGAGTGTGGGTGGGGATGTGGATGATGGTGAGAATGTGAGTGAGGGTGAGGATGTGGGATATGAACAAGATTTATACCCACACCCCGACCCACACCCACACCCACCCACATCAACACCCTAGCAGCCACGCCCACGCCCACTCACACTAACACCCTCAAGATGGTTTTAAAAAGCATCAATCTTGATCTTCATTGAAAGTACTTTTTTTTATATCAATAGCAGCAATTTCGACGAGTAGTAATAGAACTACTAGCACGACCATTACTTCAGTAACAATGACAACTACGGAATTAACAAGTACCACGACAATTACTGCAGGTGAGCGAAAAGAAAGTCCTCAAAGCGAAGATATATTTGAATAGTAGTTTACATCATTTCTCCGTTTGTATCGTTACGATCAACTCAAATATAATCGAAATATTAATCTATCATGCGATATTATTACATTGAAGATCTGTTTTGTTTATGTTTACAGGTAATGTTAGTGTATCAACAACTCGAATGGCCTATTATGCTACTGATGATATCTTTATCAGTTGTTCGACTCTTTTGACAAACGTTACTATTCAAATCACTGTATCCAAGACTGTTGGTGCAACATTCAACGGTTATTCTAATACATTTCCAGCTGGACAGACCACTGAATCTTATATTGATAATGGTACAGATATAATCTATACATGGACAATAATAAGTGGACAAACAATTAACTGTACAATCTCAACGTATCATATAGAAGCACAGTATCACTTAATTGGAACATCACAACCTAACAATGTCGATAGTTATACAATAATATTAGAAACTAGTAGCGGTGGTACTACTGTAAATTCTGGATATTTTTAGCTCTTTAATTCTGTATTACTATGAACTATTATCAATACTATATATACTCACATACTAATAAAATAATTTTATCATATTAATATGTCGAGTTGTTTGATGATGATGATGAAATGTTTTTGCACATAGATTTCGAACTAAAAAATATATTTATACAGTATTAATGAAGTAGGTATGAATCTATGAATAATATAACTTTGAAAAAGTACAAGGGTAGGTGTGGGTGAGGGTATGCTGCATATCTCACCCGCACCCTATAAATATTACCATCACCTGGATTTTTAGTAAATTCTTCGATGGATATATTTGTAGATTTCAATTGTTGGATTTGCTCGAAACTACGACTTAATATATCTTGTAATTCAGGAGTAAT